CATCTTTTAATGGAACAGGTGGGGTAATAAGTTACCCCCAGTTTTTTTTGTTTGGTCAACAACACAATATTAATCAATACAATATTGTATATGATACATTTCTGTCTGTCTTACACAATGAACAGTTTTTGATATATAAATTACAGCGAGAAGATGCAAAACATGCAGCCAGTGGTTGTCACATCAAGATTCCCCCCAAGAACAAGAAAGTTGAGATTATTTGATAAAATCGTTGCATATTCAAATTCCTTTTTTAATGGGTCATCTCTATGTTAATGGCGCTTGTATTGAATAACAACTTCGTTTTATATTTTATTTTAAAAGATGTGACAGAAGGGGAAGATAGAGGGGTGGAAGGAGAAAGGAATAATGGAAAGGGGAACAGAAAAAAAAGATTCATTAGTGTAAAAAGGATAACTCAGATTCATTTTTCTTGGGGTTTTTTCGATCTAAATGTCGCCTGTGTTTCAATATAAATACTTTTTATATCTCATTTACAGACATTTGACAGGAGGAAAACAAGTGTCTAGGCAAGAGGAAGAGACAGAAGTGGAGAAGAGAAAAGGGTGAGATTCACTAAAACTTTCTTTTAGCCATCAGTGATAAAAAGATAAACTGTTTTATCACCTTTTCTTCATAAACCACCTCAACAACAGTCGAAATTGCATTAACTTTAATTAGTTTTAACTTGAAATTTGACACCTAATGATCTGCCCATTGTACCATATATATGTATTGACACCCACTGATCTGCCCACTGTACCCTATACATGTATTGCCACATGTCCTACATCAAACTAAATCTAACATTTCAGAGACATCGACATCTATGAGTTTACGGACGATGAAGCCGAGGAGGAGTATGGTAAGTGTGTGTTACTTTGCCTGTAAATCAAATATAATGTCACCCTGGGTACGAAACATTTATTCAAATTCTTTTATGATCAGAAATATCCATTTTTAGGATATTTCAAGGGAATGAATAGAAACTAAAGGTATATAAAACTTTTTTTTTAAATGTTGTATCATAAATAATTCCCATCGCTTAGTTACTTTTATCTGGATTCCTTTCTATTATTTATCATTGTCATTATATTTCTAAAAACCGGAGTGAAAGAGGATGGAAATATATAAAATGGCAAATCCAAAATATCTTAATGTAATTACTTTCGAATTCAGACGACGGTTATTACGACAGAGACTATAACCCCAAATTAGATACGGAGGACCAGGATATGGAGGGTGAGAATTGTCCCTTATGGATATCATGACATAAAGTGTGTGCTCAGAATTCAAAATCAATAAAAAAAGCAAAGAAATGACTTAACTTGATACACTTCAAAATGTTCAGGGAAAGGAACTGGTCCGGCTAGATAAAAATACAATATGGATATATCTGTGATATTTATTTCTATAGCACCGATTTTAATGATTTCGTTTATTTCAAGCACAAGCATTTCCTCTACATTATGTTTAGCATATTTTATCTGTCATAGCAAAAAAGACATATACCATTTGAATTTTTGTGTCTATCAATGTCATTACTCTCTAATTAAGAAAACGACCCAGAAGGTGAACAAGATGAAGAAATAGAGAGTGAGTATTGTTTAAGTTTATTGTTAGAATTCGTACTCGATACAACACTTTTAAAATGTGACCAAAGAATCGACTTACATTGAAACACTTCAAAATGCACAGGGGAAGGAAGTGCTCCGGTTAGATAAAAATACAATATCGATATATCTGAGATATTTATTTCAGTAGCAACGATTTAAATGATTTCGTATATTTTAAGCACGAGTATTTCCTTTACACCATGTTAAGATGGTATTGTTCAAGTTTGTTGTTAGAACTCAAAATCGATACAAAATGTGANGAAAAAAGAGTACAAAAAGCAAAAGGTACAGTATATATTTCCCCTTTCAATCAAAAGCTACTTACTAAGATATATATCCACGTCAATGATATAATGATAAGATATAAATCATCGACATTCAGTAAAAGTTGCAATATTTCGACGTTTCTTAATCAAATAGAAACATCTTGGTGACTATAGGTAGTGAAAATGTTTTATCTATCTGTTTCATTATTTGCATTATGTTCCCTGATTTCATTTTGATACGAATCATACGTACACACACACATATATATATACGCAATCACATTTAATTACGACTGAAAGTTTAAATTCACCTAGGACAAGCCATACGCTTACTCAACATTCAACATTTCAATACAAAAGGATTATCATGATGATTTCATTTCAGATGGAAGCAGGAAGAAAGCTGCAAAAGGTATAGTGAAAATATACTTATCTTCATACGGCCTTACACATACATCCTACGAAATACCATCCCGTGTAGTAGCTTACAACTACACAACAACTGAACCACGTCCGTCTTCGTTGGATAAAAGGTCTTATTTCAAGCGAAAAAAGTGTCCCATACTAGTTATCTGTAGATGACCAACACAAACGTGTCTTGCTGGAACGGAATCAATGGAGAAACTGTAATAAACAACAGCGTTGATTTTATTGGGAATAATTTGCAAAAGACAAATACAATTTTCATTCTTTTCAGTAATGATATTATCTAGTTTTATTGCTGATTATTTTTGAGGCATACTATGATAACATTTACTATAATATTTGCAAAGTTCAAACATTACATGTTTTATTTATTTACCTAATGAAGCTGAGTGTCCAGAATGCGGCCTTATGAAGGCCTGTGTCGCCGACCACCTCCGGAGGGTGCATGGTTGGGGCACAGAAGACTCAAGGGAATGGCGCTACAAGTCGTAAGTCACAGCTTTCAGACAATAGGGACTACAAACCACCACAAGATGCTATAAATGGCAAAGGAAACTGCCATTGTAAATCACAATTAAGTCAAACATGAAAAATACAAAAACAAACTTTCAAAGCACGATCTCACGTATTAATATTCATTACAAAAAAAAAGGTCGGAAAAGGATTGAAATATTTTGAATACCTTATTCACTAAAAAAATAAACAAGTTCTTCTTGATGATGATGATGATGATGATTGGAAAACGAAAGAAATAAAAAAAAACTTGATGTTGATGTGTGTGTGTTCGCCAAAGCGAAGGAAAATAATTGATTACATTACATTATTGCATCACAATCATTGCCAATTGGAACTAGAACATAGAATAAAGAGTTCGATTTTTGAAATTGAAAAGAAACTGTCATGTGTCTCTAAATGATGATAATGATGATTATTACAAATTGTAATGCACAAAACCATTTTTTTTTAAATTTACATTGTGTCTACTTTTGCGAATTCTAAGAGAATTCTAAAACATCACTATATTTTTTCAGGCCAAACAACGACAACGTTAAGGCCAACAAAACAAGGAAAAGCATGTGCCCACTTCTGGAATGTGAACTATGGGTTAAACAACCCGTGGTCCACTTCCAGAAGTACCACAAACTAAAGAAGAACTCCACAGAGTACACCAAAGCGTTGCTGATGCTCAAAAGCTCCAGCAAATCAGGTATCTGTTTAATAGTTATATAATTTATAGCATTTATTTGTATTTTTACATTTAGAAATTTTGGAAACAAAACTATTACTAATCGCCGGAATTGCTACATATGAGAGAATTACAGGATTATTACTCGGGAGAATTATTTCAGAATAAACATAAATAAATACAATGTGAAGAAAATGATTAATTGTATTATTCTTTTTTGGTTTCGCAAACACAACCAAGTACATATACAAACGGTAATTGTGGTTTTGAAATTTAGATCAAGAAATAAAATCTTGTGTATTTTATATGGCAGTATAGCC